CGACTCGACTGTGGGATATGCCGGACGGGGGAATAGAACAAGGAATGTACATTCAATAGTCACGGAAATGGCGAAAACCAGTCACAGACTGCTAATTCGCACACGAGAACACAAGCTTCTAGTATACTGAAGCCATTGATGGGGATCAAATGTCGAGTGTATGCTATCAGATTGACTCCATGCTTTAGGAGTACGGCAAATTGTTCAAAATGTGCACTCCACCACTTCCATATTCCTGCCAAAATTTCCGGGTCTGAATAAACGCACAGAGCGGAGAGATTGGGTACCGACTAGTCTTCTGTAGCTAGTTGGTTGGAATTGCTGGAGCACGTAGCATTGATCCGACAGCCTTGGTGTTCTTGAAATCATTCCTCATTTAGTCAGATTTCATGAAGCGTGTAAGCACAACAAAACCATTTACCCTGTTTGTTGTCGTTGTGTTGGTGGTGGTCAATGTGCCACTGGGCCCTAGGGTCCGAGGTTTGTATCCCTGCCAATCAACTTAGTTGGTGAGCGGATTTACTATCACTCAATTTTGATATCAAATCTATGCTAGTGAGGGCCTGTGTGGGTCCCGTTAGACTCTGTGGCTGTGGACCTCGGGATAATCGTAACCGACGGCTGGAGACACTGAATGATATGGTTGAGTGTCGTAAACAGTGGCGTTTGTTCATCTTCTCAATTTTTTTGCAACCTTAGACCACTGAAATTCTCTATGTTCTATTCAACTCTACTTTCAACTTTCTTGTCTTTCTCCTATTTATTCTTCATCCAAATGGGCAACCAAAACCGCCACACGAAGGTCGAAGGTTTATGGTTGTACGAACTGCACTGAATCAAACTGTGTGGTTCGCCACTCCAAGTCCTGGGGCTTGTTGTTGCTTGTTCCCCTGGTTGAACAATAGGTCCCCGCAACTAGGGTTATTCTCCCCTTTTGCTGTGCATCCCACGATAGTGAATAACTAAAAATATCTCGATATATCCTCGTGTTTGCTTGATTTCGACCACTTTAATTTCAAAACTTCGATGGCCATTTTCAAACTTATCATAGATCATCATTTTCACTAAATTTTGGGGTTCATTATACGCATACTTCGACACAAATATTTCTTGTCATCTGGCTTTTGAAATAAAGTTATCCTGTTTGTAAAATGTACAACGGAGCAATATCCGTTCCTCTGACCCCTATAAATGATGAGTAAGCGTTCAAAATTTCACAATGACGATGAGATATTTTAAATTAAGATGATCGCTTCATCGAAGCTACACGGCTCAATTTAAATAGCCTGCGTTGGATGCAACCGAGGTATGGCTATAAGTCTGTCGGTAGTAAAAGTTACGAAAGTGGAGTAAGGAAGTCAATCGCAATTGTTATCGTGTCGCATCTTGTCGACATTAATCTGATCGTAAACTTGACCAAAGCTTTCCGTCCTTTGCATAGAGTTGAAACGGGGCGGTCTAGACACGTGCGGTTTCGTATTGGAGCCGCAGTAAAGGCAATTGGTATCCGTCTTCAAAAAAGCAATTCGTGCAAGCACTCAAGCTCCCTTGACCGGATTGCAGACAATTGATCGGTCATGAAACTCGCATTTAACTCGCAGTTACCTGTGAGTAGTGATGTGGGATAATTGATATTGATTGATTTGAACTGACTCACAATTAACTGTGAGTTAAATGCGAATAATCAATCGAGCCTAGTAGGTTTGTAGTAAGTCAGCCCATAGCCTGCATGGAGGTCCTGATTTGGTGGGAGGCTTTCGATTGGAGTTAACAGATTGTCATTTGTGTCTCTCTTCGTTGCTGTTGGACCAAATGAACTGACTGACTATCACTGAAGACGACACCTGAAAACACATGAATTGGCAATTCGGTTCAGCTATAGTATGAACTGGTTGGCACAGTGGTGACGCACACTCCTCCCATGCGGTGGGTCCGGAGTTCAAATCCCGGACGGGACGGTGTATATGCACTACTGATGAGCTCTAATAAGAGCGAAACTCGAGTCTAGTGCTTCCGAGTGTATGATCGAATGGATGAACTGAGGGTCATGGAACATCCGAACAAATGATTATGATACAACTTGTTGAACACTTTACTCACTTGCTCTTTTCCTCCGTGAATCTTTATCTGTTTTTTTAATGGCATGATTGAGGCAGATAACTGAAAGCGAGCGTGTTTGCCAATTCGGAGTTCTGGTTATGTGTTTTGTGAGATAGTTTACACATCTGACTGCAAACTGAGTCAGTAAGAGTGTGTATACTGTACGGCGATTTGTGCCTTCATTCCCGTCTTATTTCTTCCCCCATTGTTATTCTTATACCGTTTCAGGGAAACATGGCTCGTCTGTCCCACTTGCCGGATAATTCAGACGACGAACAAGCCCGATGGAACGGTAATTCAACGGAACAGCTGTAACACCACCACCACGATTCGGTGACTCGGCAGTTTCATTCGACAACGGTCTGGCTTTCTTGTCTGCTCTCCTCACCCGTTTTCTTTACATGATGATCCTTTGTTGGTTTTTTTGGATGTCTGTGATGCAACTCATTACTGCTACTCTCCGCTCCAAACACTTGGTCTGCTTATGGTCGCACGCACGCGCGAAAGTGTGTACACACACAATCACTCATTCGTTCCTGTAATTTACGGATGTGTGTGTGTGTGTTCATCTTGTCTACTGCCTCCCACATACCGGAATACCTGATCATTTCTCCTAATTAAGAAACAAAATGAAGATCTTGATTCAGCGGTTGTTCTCTTGTTCTACTTTTCAGATTACTGGTGAGGTTTTATGAATTTCGCATATCCCCATCTGTTCCTTTGCCTGTTGCCTGTTCCCCGGTAGAGTCACACAGGTCCACGCGCTGGTTGGAAAACTGATCGCATCAGAAACTTGCCTAGGCTGTAGTTGTGCACTGATCTGCGAGCGAAAAAAGATCACGGCGATCGATTTCTTCAGTTGTGGACCGATCGTTGTTTCAATCCAGTATCACCTTCCGACAGCTCTCAATGAATCGCAACGTGGCGCTCTAAGTTCAGCTGACACGCTAACTCAAATTGACCACATCGCAGTTGTCTACCGTTGGCGTAGCTCAGCACGAAACTGCGGATCCTATCGGACCACCGACGGCGAATCTGATCACACATTAGTTTTGATACTGTTCACTCTGCGACTCAACGGCTGACAACAAAACTGAAAACTTGAATAGCTCATCATCGACTGTCTGACCCAGCCGTTCGTGCCCGTCTTGAATCAGAACAACAGCATAAGCTAAACACGCTGTTGTGTGGAGGAACAATGCGATGAGGTTGTACGTGCGACACATTCCGAAACGAATGTTGCTTTTAAATCTGAACTACAAGCCCGTCCGAGGCATTGTATATCTGATGAGTCAGTAACCCTGATGGAGAAAAGTCGGTAATTGGGGACCGCCCGGGATCATAGAGGGGTAGGTGGCGTCTGTAACGTCAGTTTATGAAGAGCCTCAAGAAGGAGCACTGGAACTGATGGGAAACCATAGCTACTGAAATGGAAGTTGCGACTGCTTCAGGAGATAGTAAAAGACGGTTCCAACTGATAGACAATATGGGCGGTCGGCGAGCTCGTTAGTGAAACTACCTGCGATGAAAGTATGGAAGCTATTCACAGTAGGTAACAATGGCTTTATCGCTGATTTGAATACTTCGGCGAAGAGTTCAGCTCACCTGGCGCTATCCAGCTTACTTCATGGACTATAAGCTTCAAGAGTAGTGTCGTGCTATCCTCCGGCAGAAGCTGATTTTCGATCTTGCATTCAAGAAGAAGCAAGATGATCGGTGATAACTTCGTAAGCTCCATTACTACCATACTGCGCAACATTTGGATGCAAGAGTGAATTCCCATATCTTGGGTTGAATCACTGATCGTTCCCATTCGCAAGAGGGGATCTGGTAACGATTGCGAAAACCACTGCGGGATCAGTTTAATCCCGATCGTCACCAAAGTGTGATGCTTCGACGTATGACTCTTTGAAGGGAGACCAAAATCCTTCTATAGAAAACCGCATTTCGGCCTGGCTGTGGGTGTATGGATCACATTTTTACTTTACGCCAGGTTCTTGAGCTGCGTCACACCCACCGTCGTGCAACCATCGCAGTGCTCCTTGACCTGAAAGGAGCGTTTGAAGCATTTGACCGAGACGCCCTTATGGATAAGCCTCCTCGCAAAGGAATACCGCAAAGGTGTGTGATTATTTTGAGGCCACTCTGTTTGCATACTTCCGGTAACGTAACGGTCTGTGACGAACTAAATAGGTCGTTCATCAAGGGCGCCCACTTTCTCCATTCCTGTTCAATTTCGATGTAGATGAAATTCTGGAGAAGGCACTAAGTGGTCTCCAGAATTTAGGCATTAAGTAGTCAGATAGATAAAAGCTGTGTAACAAGCTTGAAAATGAGACAGTTGTAGTTATATCCATTGCTCTAGTTTACTGGTCCGATTGTGATGCAGGTGTCTCATCCGAAACCGAGGTGGAAGGCAATGGTCACCAGCTTGAATCTAAGAAAGAAATAGTGTTGAGACTTCCAGTTGGAACTTAAGCCAGATGCCTTGTATGGAACTATGGCAGTGGGAAAATATTGTGAGCTTCCACGAGACATAAATATCTCATTCAGAGACTGAACGGGATTAACAGAAAGTCAGTTGTTACACTAAATGGCGCTTTTATCAACGTATGCGGCTTCAGGGCTGTTTATCCTAATCGTATCGACGTGACCATATCAATCAACCTTGAGGGTTTTATCGATCAGTGAAATGATACGAGAAAATCCTTCATAGGGCTTTTGTACTCAAATGATTCGAATAAATTCGTGCGAACAAGATAATAAATGAAAGAGCAAAAATGGATTTGCGCCGGAGACAGTCTTCGCATGAAAGTAGTAGATACGTTGAACATATGTCGGTTAGCCCCAGTAGTCATCGCTCCGTCACGTAATGAATTCCTCACGCAGTCGTAAGAAAATTCTCAGGAAATATCGTGCCAAAAGGCAAGTCCTACGGAGGATCACTGAATCCCTGCCTTTACATAAGTTCTGATTCCAAGCCAAACAAGGGTTCTCATATATTTCCATTTAACTCAGTTGTGACTAATGTGCGATGATTGATGTTCATTTATTAGAACTGACCATCTTTCGAACTTCATCTTCGTGCACATTCATCAGCTCTTCTAGGTGATCATACGCTTGACATTACCGGATTCGAGTTTCGCTCTTATTAGAGCTCATCAGTGGTGCATATCTACCGTCTCCTCCGGGATTTGAGCTCCGGACCCATCGCATGGAAAGAATGTGTTACCACAGTGCCAACCAGCTCATATATATATATATATATTTAAATAGAGAATGGAGGCGTACACTGTTGTAAAAAGTTTATTGTAACGTTTCTATCCAAACTAGGTTTCGTTGTCAAACGTAAATGAAATGAAGGAGATAATGGGATTACCGTATTTCCGTGCGCCTATGTGCTGTTTGTACGTCTATCAGTCCACCAACCGTCATGGGTTTTGCGAATGTGACGTAGTGTTTGTCTATCTCAACGTGTTGGTTGACCGAGTGCAGAGCTCCGAGGCCTAATCGTTCCCTCTTGTTAGCTCGCACCACCACCCTTGCGATCTCGTGACCTGCCCGTGCTCAGTGGTTCCAGATTTGTGACCTCGGGTCAGTGCGTCGGAGGGCAAGCGTGTGTTCGTCTAAGCTAGTGTGTAGTTGTTTGCCTGTCTCACCTATGTAGTGTTGGTTGCAGGCCAGGCACGGGATTGTGTAGTTTACTCCTGATCGTTCGTGCTGTTCGACTCAATCCTTGCCGCTGAAAAGAAACGATCGCACAGTTGCTCCTGGTTTACGGGCGATCTTGATTCCCAACGGTCGGAGTATTCGTCCGGTGGCTTCTGACGTGCCGCCTATGTAAGGTAGTGTTATCCAAATTCCTTCTTTTGTATGTGTTGTTTGCTTCTTACGTAGTTCATCGGTCTATACTCCCGTCGGACGTGATCAAGCGTCCAAAATGCCCAATACATCTCGACTTCCAATCGAGCCTGTGACCACCATCATAACCAGGACGGTGCGGACGTGTGTGAGACGTTTGTCCTAATACATTTGTTTCTTTTTACAAGTTTTCTCTGCTGACGAATGCCTCGCGAAGATTTGCGTACACTCATTAGCCTGTTTCGCGCACATCACGTTTCTGTGCCCACAGACAATTTTTTTGACGAATCACACATTCAAGAATTGACTGTTGAAATGAACGATCCGGTTGTACGTCAGGCATTGGGAGCAATGAACACCGCACAACTAACGCCCGATTGTATGTGACACTCCTCGGGGTAAATCTGATTGATAAATCAATCGAAAATATTCTGCACACACCAATACGCTACAGTATCTCAGATAAATGCGTGCCACTTCGCTCGTTTGTCGCGCACATTCTTTGTCTAGTATTCCGCTTTCATTGAAGCCATCTAACTGATCCTGTATGCAGGTCTCACTCCGATTGTTCGAATGATAATTCCGTTCAATCCGATGAGAAGGAGAAAATAGATAAATATCACATAATTCCTTCTTCCCAAGCTAGACGTGATCTTTCAACTAGAAATTGGATAAAACAAGACTATGATCCGGTGCACACCAAATAACTCGATTGGAATCTTTTGTGGAGTCCGTTGTCCAGAAAGGGAACCCGGTCATTCCCAACTCTCCTCTGTCCGTATGTGCCCGGTGAAAAAGAACAAGCGAAAAATGTCCGCTCACAACAACTATGTTTAAAAACGACTTCGGAAACGTACCAATTCTCTGATGGTTAACAACTGATTCAACAAGGTGTGCACACTTCGTCATCTGGACACAGTGCGCTGAGATGGATGCGGTCCCGCATCATTGTGTCGAGCGCTTGTTTAGTGTGAATCAGCTTCTATTGAACCGGGCACATTGCAGATTTATTCCGAAGAGAACATGTGCTGTGGCCTACAGTGAACCGAAACTTTATCACACATTGCATGCCCGATGGGGTTTCTCACCTTGGGACTTACTCGATTGCAATGTCGATCCGCCTTAGCGAATCAGATATCGGTAGTGATCTATCCGAATCGATTGGTTCGTTGAATACCCAACTTGATGCCATCCTCTTTTATTTGTTGACACGCAAGTGTTGGCCTGTCTGCGTTTTGACACCTCGCTTGCTCACCAGCCTACCGGTCGACTATGTGTACACGTGCATTCTGTAAAAACATGAAGTGCTTCATTCACTACGTGCTCCTTTATTTGCTCAAGTTGGACACAAAATCATTGAAAAATTCCGACTAAACCGTTGGATACGGATGTTAGCCCATGGTTCAAATGCGTTTCCAATCCAATAAACCATTTAGTGAGGAGTAAAGATCAGACTCAAATTGACGGTAGACTGAC